CCCGGAGCGGGCGCCGACGCCCCCGCCACCCTGGACGCGTCCATCTTCCGGAAGCTGCGCAGCGGCAAGGCCGAGGGGGAGGCCGAGGAGGGCCGCAGCCCCCCGGAGCCCGGCCGCCCGTGGGTCTGCCAGAAGAGCTTCGCGCACTTCGACGTGCAGAGCATGCTGTTTGACCTCAACGAGGCAGCCGCCAACCGGGGCTCGGTGGCCCAGCGACGCAACACCACCACCGGGGCCTCGGCCGCCTCCGCCGCCTCGGCCATGGCCATGGCGTCGTCCTCGTCGTCGTCCCTCACGGCAGCCGCGGCCTCGGCGTCGGCGGCATCGCGGGCCCACAGCCTGGGCGGCCTGGACCCCGCCTTCACCAGCACGGAGGACCTGAACTGCAAGGAGAACCTGGAGCAGGACCTGGGCGACGACACCAGCAACGACCTGCTGCTCAGCTGCCCGCACTTCCGCAACGAGATCGGCGGGGAGCGCGAGCGCAACGTGAGCTTCTCTCGGGCCTCGGCCGGCTCCCCGGGCGGCAGCGGTGGCTGCGACCCGCTCCCTGCCGAGCCCGCGCTGAGCGCCCTCCGCACCAACGCCAGCATCGCCGTGCTGGAGGTGCCCAAGGAGCAGCAGCGCACGCAGAGCCGGCCGCGGCAGTATAGCATCGAGCACGTGGACCTGGGCGCCCGCTACTACCAGGACTACTTCGTGGGCAAAGGTGACCAGGAGGGAGACAGGGAGACTTGTCCCAGAGACCTTCATTCATTCAGCCTGGAAATGGGAGCTGCCTCCTTGGGGAGGGGTCCTGGGGATACACAGTGAGCCACATCCTAGCACCTGGACACATCTGAACACTTGAGACCCACAGTTAATCTGGCAAATGTGGGTTTGGTACAGCACTCTATATAGCCTGGGGTGAAGTATTGACCCCCTTCAGACCAAAACCCTACCTTCCTAGCATGTAACTTAAGTATTAAGGGGGCCAAGGTAAATCATAAAGCAAGATAAATCCATAACGTCCACAAGGTGTGTCACAAGGCAGAGAGAAGGCTGAAGAGAAAGGGAAGAGTTGGAAGGCAGGCTTCAGTGGAGGATGGTCAGACCCATGGGGGGGTGGGTAATTAGGAATGGTGTTTGTGGCACTAAGAACAAAAAGTACCAGAGTCCTGGCCATTAGAGGAACAGGGTGAGGCCAGTGTTGTTGGGACAGTGACTGAGGGAGAGTCGCAGAGAGGTGACAAGGATGGATGGGAATCCCAAGGCTGTGGTAGGGACTCATCTTTCCCAAGTAAGGTGCAGCCACAAGAGCCCTGAGCAGGGAAAGCCCTAATTAATGTCACATGGTGTTTGCGGCTTCTCTGGTCTCTTGTGTGTACTCACTATGTTATTGAGAGGAGATAGTAATGGGGGCTATTCAGGACTGGGTATGTTGTAGATTCATATGGAGGGGGACACCAGGGAGAGATGGGCTTTGTGTCTGACAGGCACTTGGCTGCTGGCAAACAACCCCAGGAAGCAGCATGGCCACATAGAGACCCCAGACCCAGGCCAACCACATACAGAAATGAATGGTTTCTGCCCAGTTCCACCTCCGTTGGAAAGGCAGACAAGCCAGTATTACCAGTCTTCTCAGTTTGTAAGATTCTCCTGAAATTCAGACTTGTTTGTTTGTTTTGGTGAACTAAGGTTTAAACTCAGGCCTTGCACTTGCCAAGCAAGCACCCTTCTACCTGAGCCACACACCCAGCCTTTTTTTTGGCTTTAGTCATTTTTCATTCTCATTTTAAACCCATTTTACTACTGCTGGAATGCTGCCGAGTGACTTGGCCTAAGCCACATTTCTAATCTCACCTCAAATTTGGACTGCAGAAGGAGGAATAACCACTTCATGAGGGCTAACAGACAGCAAAAACAGTCCATTTGCAAACCCAAGATTAATCACAGTCACACTGTAAAACTAAGTTTTTATAATTGTAGCTTCCTGTCACCTCACCTGAGCTCTCTTATCTGGGCCCCTCTTTCTCAGATGAAAGCACTGAAACTCAGAACACTTCTGTGACTTGACAGAGTTGGTACAGAAAGCCGAGCTTTTGCCTCTTAGGATTTCAACTATAGAATGTGGTTGTGTCTAGACATGAGCCAGGGTCTCACTCCTCCATCACTCAATCAGCAGGCCCACTGTAGGCTGGGCCCTCTCAAGCTGACTAAATACACCCACTCTCCCTTTGCAGAACATGCCAATTACTTTGGTGTGGATGAAAAGCTGGGGCCAGTGGCTGTGAGCATCAAAAGAGAGAAACTGGAAGACCACAAGGACCATGGACCTCAGTACCAATACCGGATCATCTTCCGGACCCGTGAGGTAGGGAAGCACTACTGTTAAATAATAACGTAGTTCAGTAATAATGCCCCAACTCTGGGGCAAGTTCTTCTCTGTCTTACAGTCCTTCAGTGGGCCCAGGAAAGGATCCTATCAGTCTCCATTCTGCAGAGAAAGAAACTAAGACTCATAGAAATTAATTTTTTTTTTTCCAGTCTGTTGCCAGTCAGGGCCTGGGCACTGTCCCTGATCTTCTTTTGCTCAAAAAAGCACTCTACTACTTGAACCATAGTGCCACTTCTTTTTTTCTTTTTTTCTTTCTTTCTTTCTTTTTTTCTGTTTATGTGGTACTGAGGGCTCAAACCCAGAGCTTCATGTATGCTAGGCAAGCACTCTACAACTAACCTACATTCCCAGCCTTGAATGACTTGTCAGATCAGGAAATTAATGACCAGGCCAGCATTTGCATGCAGTATGTGTGACTTCTTCAGAGCCCAGAATTGTGCAATTTATTTGCAAAGGATTAACTCTAGTGAACCCAAGAAACCAATGAAAAAGCGAGGGGACATTCCAGGATTCTGAGGTATCCTGCATAATGGAAAGAAGTGAGGGAGTGAGCCTCAGGCAGGGCAGAATTGGCATATCTCAACAGGCCCTACAGTTGTACCAAGTAGCTCAGAACATGTCCCCCCTGGCTCCTCCATTCTGAGCTGAGCCTCCATTGCCCTGGATTAAAGGTTAGTCATGGCTAGGGGAGATGGCCTGTTAGAGGCACACTGCCCTAGTAAGAGGCTAAATTGTAAGTGACAGAAAGAAATTTGCTGGTTCTATCTGCAGATCCCTTGGTTATGACTATCTTCAAGCAATGCCAAGCTCATTCAAGTTACCAAAACTCCTTAGCTTCCATTTGCATTGAAAAAGTCATACTTTTCTGTCAACAAGTTTTCTCCACATCTAGCAAAAAGGAGAGTAACACTCAGATTTGTGTATTTATAGCTTCCCATCAAAAGAGGATCTGATTAGTTCTAATTTGGTCAGAGCCTATGTCTCTGGCCAGTCACCTGGTGGAGGGCCTTTAGAGGAAACTGGTTAGATCTAGGACATTTTGCTGCACCCAGGGCTAGTCCTGGGAGAAATAATTCCATGGGAGCCTCCCATAGGAGGCTGGGCAGGCCTCAGCCAAAAGAGAAAGGAAACAAAGCAAGCACAAGGGAAAGACTTCCAGTGAACCCCAACAGAGAAGAGAGGCAGTTGTCACCTAAACAGGACCCCAACTAGGGTCTCTGTCAGCCCTTTATTGCCCCAGCCTTTGTGGGCCAGCCTTTGCCCAGGCTTGGAAACCAGCAGGCCAACTGCCAGGGACTTGGATTATGGGGCAGCAAGTCCTGGACCTCATCCAGACTAGCAGATGCTACACCAAAGGCCCTTGTCCCATCCCATGTGACAACACAGAGACTTTGTGACAGCTCAGGAAAAGGGGCCCCAAAACCATGTGCCCAGACTGCAGGTGGTCCCAGCCTATATTTCCCCAGCCCACTCTCCACTGTGCTCCCTTTTCTGGCCAGATGAGCACTAGGGATACAATGGGTATAACACACACTTGACACTTCAGGGGATCAGAGAACATGGGCAAATGCTGAGTTCACGTAACAGTGTGAATTTTACAGTTGCATCACCACTGTACATCTACTTAGCCCTGTGTGTCAGCCATTGCTCTGTGCCTTTGTATTTGTTGATTTGCTTAAGTCGTCAAAATTCTGTGGTAGAGACAGTCCTGTCCTGCTTTATATGGGAGATATACACACAGCAATTAGGATCTTCAATGAATATCTGTGTGTCTTCCAATCATTGCACTTGGCTGTCTCTAGGAGTCACCTCCTCACTTAAAGAGTTACGAACACAGCTAACTTAGTGCCATTGATGCTATGTCCAAGAGATTAGAGGCCTGTGCTGTCCACACATATACACCTCAAGGCTGCCATAAAGGCATTGGGGCCCAAGCTGCCTTCCAAGCCAGCCGGTTGGCCTGCCCCAGATGGCCGCCCCTGGCCACCAAGCAGACAGTTTCTAGCAGGTCTGTATCTCTGGGCAGATGGGGTGTGAGCGTTGGCAACACCGAGCTTCCCACTGAGGCAGGAGCAGATTCAGAGCTGGACTCGTGCCCCATATGCCTGAACAGTGGCTCCCTAGTGAGGCAGGACAAGGCCAGTAGTACAAGGCTGTCTTGTTCCAAGCCCCTTGCTGGTACTGCTGAACTGGGACACAAGGCCCTCCAGCTATTAGACACTGTCTAGCCCACCCCACTAAAGGACAGGCCTTAGTTTTTCTTTCTTTGTTTGAGATGTGTCTTGCTATGTAGCCCAGGCTGGCTTAAAACTTGTTATTCTTGGGCTGGGAAGATGGCTCAGTGGTAGAGCGCTTGCCTTGCATGCCTGAGGCCCTGGGTTCAATTCCTCAGCACCACATAAGCAAAACGAAAAAAGCCAGAAGTGGCGCTGTGGCTCAAGGGGTAGAGCGCTAGCCTTGAGCTGAAGAGCTGAGGGACAGCGCCTAGGCCCAGAGATCAGGCCCCATAACCGGACCCAAAAAACAAAAAAACTTGTTATTCTTGGGCGGGGGGGTGGTAGAGTGCTTGCTTTGCATGCAAGAGGCCCTGGGTTCAATTCCTCAGCACCACATAAGCAGAAAAAGCTGGAAGTGGCACTGTGGCTCTGGTGGTAGAGTGCTACTTTTGAGCTGAAGAGCTGAGGGACAGTGCCCAGGCCCAGAATTCAGACCCCATGACTGACCAAAACAACAAAAAACAAAAAACTTGTTATTCTTGGCTATATTCTGCTGGGCTCCTGGAACAGAGAGATCGAGGCTGCCCTGCTATACCTGTGGTAAAGGCCGAGGCCTCTGGGTGCGGATGAGACACGCGCCCAGTGGAGGCAGTGGTGCCACACAGAGCCATGGCCAGTACAGTAGTAGCAGTTGGGCTGACCATTGTTGCTGCAGGATTTTCAGGCCCTTATGTTTTGTAAGCCATGAAGCATATGGAGTCTCAAGTAAAACAAGTTTTTCAAAGCCTACCAAAATTTGCCTTCAGTGGTGGCTATTACAGAGGTGGATTTGAACTCAAAATGACAAAACGGAAAGCAGCAATAATACTAGGTGTAAACCCTACTGCCAAGAAAGGAAAGATAAGAGATGTTCATCTACGAAATATGCTCTTAATCACCCAGACAAAGGAGGATCTCCTTACACAGCAGCTGGAATCAATGAAGCTAAAGATTTACTAGAAGGCCAAGCTAAAAAATGAAGTAAATAGCCAGGCGCCGGTGGCTGACACCTGTCATCCTAGCTGCTCAGGAGGCTGAGATCTGAGGATCGTGGTTCAAAGCCATCCCGGGCAAGAAAATCCTTGAAACCTTATCTCCAATAAACCACCAGAAAACCAGAAGTGGTACTGTAGCTCAAGTGGTAGAGCACTAGCCTTGAGCTGAAGAGCTGAGGGACAGTGCTCAGGCCCAGAGTTCAAGATCCATGACTGACCAAAAAAAAAAAAGAAGAAGTAAATGTATGATGAATTTTAAGTTCATACAAACTTATGAGTATCAACTTTTTATGATAAAATGCCTCAAATATAAAGTTTAACAAAAGGCCAGGTGCTGGGGCTTACACCTGTAATCCTAGCTACTCAGGAGGCTGATATCTGAGGATTGCAGTTCAAAGCCACCCCGGGCAGGAAAGTCCATGACACTCTTATCTCCAGTAAACCACCAGAAAACCAGAAGTGGTGCTGTGGCTCAAGTGATAGAGTGCTTGCCTTGAGCTGAAGAGCTGAGGGACAGCGCCCAGGCCCAGTGTTCAAGCCCCACGACCCACCAAAAAAAAAAAATTTTTTTTTAATTAAATAAAATAAAAAAACTTGTGGGGCTGGGAAGGTGGCTCAGTGGTAGAGCGCTTGCCTTGCATGCCTGAGGCCCTGAGTTC